AATATAATTTACTTATTTTATTCTATTTTCTTATGTTATTACAATAAAAATCATATATTTAAATTAAAAATAAAAAGATAAAATCAATTAAAAAACAAAACTAAAGTCTCAAACTTCCATAAAAAAACAAAAAACAAAAAAAAACTAAAGTCACCACCGCTGCCTTTCCCTGCCCAATCTCAGCCACCTTCGTCGGCGGCTTCCAGCCTTGTGCAGAAACAAAACCAAAAAGCAAGCCCTTCGTTTGTGCAAAAGCAAAATCCAGATGTAGAAGCTAAAACGAAATAAAGTAGGCGAAGTCACCGTTGGTCAACTGCCTTCCCGATCCCAGCCGTCGGTGACTCCACAACTACCTCCCTGATCTCAGCCGTTCGCCGCTTACCTCCTTCTTCCATCAACAGAGCAGATCTGCCTCTCCTCCGCCAGTCATCGTCCTCTCTGCTCACCTCTTTAAAAAAAGCTGTTTACCTTTTTTTAGTCAACCGATTGAATCGGTCGGGTGAACTGGTTCAACCGATTGAACCGGACCCGGTGGCCAAAACGGGCCAACCACCGAGCCGGGTCCAAAAACAATGTTTTGGATTCTGTCCGCTCAGTCGATTGAAACGGTTGAACCGAACCCGGGCATGAAAATGGGTTGGGCCTATACTTTAGTCCGTTTTGCAAGTTCACCTGTTTCGACCTGCTGGTGCCCACCTAACTCGTTGGAACAGTTGAAACCACCTAAACCGCTAGGCTGAATGAATTTGAGTTTTTAATGACTTAATATTAATTAAATTAATTTATTTGATTTTTAATATAATTACCCACACCATTAACTTTAATTAGAAATTAAAATCTTACATCAATTAAAAAAACAAAACTCTCAAAGGATCGGGTATTCCCATTTCACTGCAAATTGCAAAAGCAAACCAAAAGAAATCAGAAACAAAAGAGAGCAGGGGAAGAGAAGAACAGCACCACCAGACCACCAATACCATGCACCAATCACCATCGCCGACCTTTCTCTGCCCGATCTCAGCCACCTTCGTCTGTAACTTCCAGTCCTTTGTCTCTGTGCAGAAGCAAAACCAGAAAGCAAGCCCTTTATCAGAGCAGCGAAGTAGCGAAGTTCATCTATGTACAAAAGCAACGAGAAAGCAGAAAGAAAACAGAGCAACGAAGTCACCGTCGGCCAACTGCCTCCTCAATCTCAGTCGTCGGTGACTCCACAACTGCTTCCCCGGATCTCAACCCTTCATCGTTGCCCTTCCTCTCCTTCTTTCACTGACAGAACAGATTTGCATTTACATTTGCCTCTCACCTCTGCCAGTCACCGTCCTCTCCTTCCACGGTTCTACCAACAAATTTTGATATAAATGAAAAATCTAATAAAAATGTAAAAAAAAAAAAAAAATTTTTTGATCAATCAATTGAATTGATCAAGTGAACCGATTCAACTGGTTGAAACAGACCCGATGGCCAAAACGGGTCAGCCACCAGGCCTTGTACAAAAACACTGCGTGTGGCTTTCGACCAATTAATTGAGGAAAGTGATTCACGTATAATTTATTTATTTATTATTTTTTTTAACATATTATAATTTTGAAGAAAGGGGATTCGAACTCTAATTTTGAAATTGAGAATGCACTTTATAATATGACATATAATTTTTCTTATTATTTTTAATTATATAAAAAAATTATTCTTATATCATTACTTTTTTTATTAATCTTTTGGTATCCGTTATTTACATTATATCTTAATTAATACGAAATCGAGTTCCATCAAATTTCATAAGGGGAAAATTTTCTTGATGCATGTTTTTCCATTCACAAAACTTGAACTCAAAATCTTATTCAAAACCTTTTTTAAGGGAATTAAACTCGTTTCACTCAAATCAACAAGTCATTGGTCTTATACTATCACCTTTTTTTTTTTGTATTAATCTTTCGATATTTGATTAATAGATTGAATTCGGATTAATTTAGAATCGAATCACGTCAGATCACATATAAGGGAAACTCTCCAATATTTGTTTCTCTATTTACAAAACTCGAACTCAAAATCTTAATTAATAGTAACCAAGTTTCTTTCACTCGAATCAACGTGTCATTGGAATATCATCACCTATTAATCCAACTGAAAGCAAATATTCTCCGTGCGTAATGATTCAGCAGATTATGTTTTGCTACGGTATGATTTTTTAAGTTTGACATGGATAATGCTTGCATTGTGATATGAATTTTTGTCTAGGTT